TTCGAATCCTAATCCGGTTAGCTCTAGTTGAATAGTGTAAACAGTCAGAAAGCCTGTCATGCAGTGCATACTTTAGATGCGAAGGGACTGATAGGTGATTCAGTTTAACTGGAACCATGGCATAAATCGAGACTGTTTGTCTCGTTCAACTCACACAAAGAGCACTTGAAACAAAGCTAGGCCATCTTGTATAGGCCGTTGCATTTGCGGATTCCACGGCAATCACCTGGTAGTCACACTTTCGACGCTGGACTACGTACTTTGTTGGATTACTTAAGAAAGTGCGAAGATAGGGGCACCGTGACCAGTCTGCTATTCACAGCTTGCCGGTGGAATGGGAGAACTTATTCCTCAAGGACCTAGCTGAAGTACTGCCATATCTAGTCGTTACACTGGGACACAAAATAATCTGGTACCTTGGTGGTCCTGGTGTTCGGCCTGCAGTCCCAGACACCCCCATTTGGACAGCTTGCACAAACAGAGCGGCGTATTGTGAAGTTCATTGGGAAGCCTAAGCGATAGCGCCCATAGATCGAGCTGTCTAGGTCTGGATTGGAATTCTACGACAGATGTTTTAAACCAGACTGCTGTTAGAAGAATGGGTACTGGATATATATGATTTTGTGACACTGCTTAGTTGCTCGCTTTTGTTTTGCTACCGTTTTTCTCTTGATATTTGTTTGGACGCATCATGGCTTTGCTTTGATTGCCCGGCCTACTGCATTTATAATGGATGTCATCTCAGAAGTCCGGCTTCGCCAAGAGCATGTCCTCCAACGCTCCTGATTGGTACTTATGTTTACTACTTCGCTTTCGTCGGTATTATTCAGTGTCTCCTATGGTGTTCGTTGACTCCAACGTGCTTTAGTACGTTTGTTTCATTCACTGACAGCAGCTATGTATGACATAGCACTTAGAGACTGTCAGGGCGGATGTATTTTGATGTACTCATGAGTAGAGGATTTTGATGTAATTAAGGGAGATTTATGGCAGCCAGTTTCCAAATCAGATGGTCGTCCACATGCCCGGAAATGCACTAGACTGCAGTTTCAGCCTGTTGGGCATCATCAGTAGTGCGAATCCATCGTCGTCTTTCGGGGGCAACCCTGTCTTCTGCAACGTTCGTAACTTGCCTGGCGGTGGAGGATAAGACGCGCTATACCGCAGTTAGCTTGTAAATCATGACGATCCGAAGCTGTCCCCCGTAGCCAAGTGGCATAAGCTGCTGACTGGCGGTTCAAGCCGCTGCTGGCCATGAGTTAGAATCCTGATGGATCCGATGGATGCGCACTACTGATGATGCCCAACAGGCTGAAACTTCAGTCTAGTGCTTTTCCGGGAATGTGGACGACGATCTGATTTGGAATTGGCAGCAACGAACCCTCAACTTTTATCTCAAAATCCCCCACATCAAAATATATCCGCCCTGAGAGTTGCTAAATGTTATGTTATAATAGTGGTCAACAATATCTAATTGCACCCACTTCATGATCATCTTTTCCACCACGGTGTCGGGGGCCCACTGCACCGGTGGATCCGCGACTTCCTTGTTGGACGAAAGTGGAGGGTACAGGTCGACGACCATCTAACTGACTGGTACCCCTCTACAAGTGGCGTGCCTCAAGGCAATGTGCTGGGGCCCACTCTGTTCCTGATCCACATCAACGATCTACCGCAGCTTCTCTGGTCGCCGTTTGCCTTGTTTGCGAACGACATGAAGATGTGGAGAGAAATGGACGCTCCCGATGATTGTGGCCTACTTCAGCAAGACCACAACCGCCTATCCACATGGTCTGCAGAAGTTCTTCTCTCGGTCAACCCAGCCAAGTCTGTATTTATGAGCCTGGAGAAGGGTGATAACGGCCGAATCTACACCCTTGACGGCCAAACGCTATATCCCACACCATCCGCGAAGGACCTAGATGTACTCTCACGCTACGACTTGAAGTTCGTGGACAACAAGAACAGGCTATATCGTAATGGACTGCGCATGCTTTGGCCGCTCAAATGTAGCTTCGGCACATGGTCTGAAGAGGTTGCCACTCGCCTGTTCTCCTCTATCATTAGACCAATGCTAGAGTACGGTTCGCCCGCCAACTTTCCGATTACCCGAGGCGAGGCACAAAAGATCGAACGGGTCCAACAGGTTGCTACCAGGCTAATCCCGAGTTTACGTGGCTTTGGGTATGAAGATCGGTGCGAGCAACTAGGACTCTACACCTTGTCCTACTGTCGGGTGCGAGTCGACCTCATTATGACTTACCGTATTCTACATCTCGGTGACTTCCCCATGCTGAGGCCAATGCTGCACTTACGAGGGCCATGCAACACACGCGGATACAGATACAAACTTGTCGTGCCGGATATGAAACGTGTTCCCCACCCACTGTGCTTCGAACGGAGAGTGGTAAACATTTGGAACAGTTTTTCTGAACATGTGATTGAGGCAACATCTGTGCCCCAGTTCAAAACGCTGTTACATTTGTATTTTTCCACTATTCGCTTCAGAGAACGACTGCACACTTACAATGACATATCACATTTGTGAATCCTGAAATATCGTAAGTCAAATATTTTAAATATTACATGAGAACGACAATGATATTCACGGTTGACAACATTTATAACGTTTTTCACCGTATTTCGAAAGAGTTGTACAGCATCCATTTCTACTTGCTCTATAATACAGTATTCAGTAGTATTCAGTATTCAATTATGTGAGGAGAACAGTGTCGATTTTCAGGTTCTACTGTTGCACACAGAGGTTAGATGGCTCTCTAAGACCAACTGTCTTCGCCGTTTTGTTGCACTCTGGGATATCATCATCACATTCTGGAATTGCTTATGAAAGAAAATTGCTTACAGCTAAGCCAGACGCGTGTTTTATCTGGCCTACGTTTTTGTACAAATTAACTTCAAGGCAAGTTGAACTATCGCATCGCAAGCAAAGAAGCCATTAGCATAAGTACCCAAATGCGCGAAGCATATTTTTTTCGATAATTCTCATCGGCGTACACAGTTATGAATCAAACTATTGGAGGGAATAAAGCTCGTAGAGGCTTGTCCAGAAAACCACCAAGTCATTAACCATTATCGCTGGTTTTAAAATGCCGCAAGTGTATGCTCGAAACATTGGACGTCGGGAATTATCAGTTCCCAATTCTAGCTATCGTCACGGAGGCGTTAACTTATGATGACGTGCTATTGTATGTGATTCATTCACGACAACTCCGAAATGTAATGAAAGACCGGTTTAGTGACCTGATTGACATGGAAATCCCAACTTGGATTGTATCTCCATTTGATGTACGGCCCTATAATGTTGGAGTTAAAGTCCAGGGAATTCTTATAAAGCTGCAAATTGGCACACTCGCAAGATCCAAATTCAGGCAACATAAAAGAGATTTTTGATAAAGACTAAGGCAGATAACTGGTATCCCAGACGGTGGGAAATAACCGAAGTATATTTGCTTGTTTTCCATCTACATACTTGGTTGTATGTGGATTTAGTAGAGTGGTTTCTTTAACAAAACGCATAAACCGAGTAGAAAGCACAGCAAGAGGAGATATTCGACTCTCGATGTAAAGTCTGGAACCGGACATAAGTAAGCTTGCCCAAGGACATCAGCTGCAAGTAGGGCGTTTATATTTCGACAGAAATATTGCTAAGCAGTTACTATCCGTCTTAAATCATCACATGCCTTACAGTTAAAAACTAACAATCATTAAATACAATGTTACATTTGTAAGTAGTACGGGATTTATTAGGTTCTTGTGTAGGTTCGCCGTAGTTAGATACAGGCAGACAGCCACCACACATCCAAGAAACCGCTAGGCGGCCGTTTCGTCCTACTGGGACTCGTCATTATCGCGCACACCCCGAATCCTGCCGGATTCGAACCCACGACCTTACTTTTGCGAGTCAGCGACTTATGTCACTAAGCCATGTGCGACGGCGGCGGACCATCATGAGTGATTTCTAACTGTGATATAGCGCGGCTCATTCTCCATTGTCTTGCATGTTATGAATGTTAAATGTTAAATATTAATGATGACCGTTCTGCAAGTACAGATAAGTGGTTTGATTTTGCTGCAACATGAATATTATCGTAGGACTGTGAAGCTCAACAATGCGATTTATGAAGGAAAGATATGAGCATTAAAATTTAGTCATCATAACAAGAGATTGTAATACGATTAGTGGAAATCGGAAATCTACTTCCCGCCTTGCGGATTGTTGAAATTGTGATGATCAAGGGTGGGGCCATAAGAAATAGAAAGGTGCTAAAGGGGGCCACGGTTGAATAAGGGTTGGGGATGCCTGTGCTAGCAGCTACAGATGCCACAGCCTCATTTGTTCGGTAAGTGTTAATAATCACAAGGGATTTAGTGAACACCGATCACCAAGTGAATCCCATTGAGTCATTCACTGAATTTTTTGCGCAACCATCTTCCTCACACCCTAAGACTACTGGAAGCCGTCAGTATCGATCGGGGGTGGCCAATCCTTTGGGTGCAAAACCAGCTGACCTTAACCTTGAACATACTGTGGCATCACGAATCACGCTAATTTGCCACCGACCGACCTCACGTGCCTACTGCTTGTTACGAACATTATTCGGCGGATATTTGAGGTTGACCAAGATGAGCGAAGTGACTGGGTCACCACACAAATTGCGTCGTCCGGTCTTGCTGGTTATTGTAACATCAAGATCTGACTTTCCCGGTCAAGGTCCACTACTACTTCCTGGATAGTTTAATATAAAATTTAAAATAAGCTGGTTCCTTTATACTTCCAAACAGGACCGAAAGTGTGCCGCAATAAAAATGTAGTTGGCCAGCGCAGCTTCCGCGTCCAGTTGTACTATGCACCAAATCCGCCAATCGCATGTGTTTAGTTACGTAATCAATTACCGCACCGTTACACAAACTACTATTGTGCTGGGTCCACAGTGGATTCAAAATAGGCAACTTCACCTATGAACAATCGTAATGGAGACTTACCGCCCTGATTTCGTGATCACCATCTCTGTTGTCATGCTGTGAAAATTCCGCCACAAATCCGCATCAACCAGTTCAACAGTTAGCACCTCTTTTGCCTTTGGCGGCACTTGCATGTGGATTTGACTATCCGGAGAAGGCGTTTGTCCTACCCGACTGTGTGCAGTCGTGCGACCAAGTCCCCTGCTGGAGTAGTTTACATCCTCCGAGATGCGCCAAGGGCCAACGGACTCCATCGGGGATGTCCAAGCGTTCAGATTCGGAGACGGAACACTCGGAGGTGAAGATGTGAAATGCGAATTAGGCGAAAACGCGTGCAGTCGTTTTCGGCTGCACCTTTCTGCGGGGGACCGCAGTGGAGATCCTGCCTTTGTAGTCTCAAGTCGACGAAACCCTCCATTCAGGTGGGAGTGTGCCAGGCTTTTCACATGGTCATTGGTTGACAAGGTCGCTGAACTGCTTACATCTGTCGGACTCAAAGAAGTCAACGGGAAGAGAGTACTACTCAGCAGTTCGAGTGTTCGCCTGTGGTTCGTCGGATGAACTCCCTGAAACGATGAGTTTATGGTCCCTACACGATCCAAGTAGCGTGACGCGGCCACACTCAGCGCGTTGACCACCGAACGCAAGTGGTCAAATGGGTATATATTGGTCTGCTCGCGCCGAGTAATTACTCCATCGATGAAGGGATCCAGTCTCGTGTCCCGAAATCCCAGCACGCTTGCCAGGTTGCCGGTGAGGTAGTTATCACCGGGAAGTTGTGAAAGTGGAGGGTCATTGGTGGAACCATTGGAGTAGCCGTTTAGTATGTGATGACGTGATGTGGCATCCATGGTGGTGAGGAGTCCAAGAGAGTGGGTGATGCTTCGGAGCTCAGCTTCAGTGGTCTGAGAACCAGGACAACCTACTGGCATGGATCACTGGATCGTTTATTCACATGCTCCGTTAATTGAGATCTGATGTAGAACACAAGACACATGGTATCAACTCCGCAGTCAAATGTCCACCCGGTCGTCGCGCTGACAGTATGCTTGTCCACCTGGAGTGAGCTTATTGGACAAACTAGAATGCATATCGTATCGGTGGCAGGAAGTCCACCATCCATAGGTGTGATGTGAGTCGGCGCGATTTCAACAACCAATCGGGGGTGATCTAAGGTCTGACAGTAAAGTGTTATGATTGGTTTGGCGCGGTTTCTGCGCGCACGCACCCACACCTCCGTAAATTACATTCAGTAGGGGTACAGTGCGTCCGTACACAAGCATGTTCCGGGGATTACGAGTGGCTGCCTCTCGCGTGAAAGATTGGACATAGTCACAGGCGTCGACAGGTGTGAGTGAAGGGTAGGGTTCCTCATGCACTTCAGATTCGTGCGTGTTCCGAACGCAGACTCGTGTTATCCACCATCGCGTAATCAAACTTTCCGAGGCCGTCAGATGGAAAGAAGTCCTCTGGAATCCTTCTGAAGCAACAGCAACCGGGTGAAGTATGCAAGGTGCGTGAAATACGCATCCTATTCAGTGGGTTTAAAACACACCAACTTGACAAAATGAGTGGCGGAAAGGAACTCTTGCTATCGACCAGGCTTTGGTTTCTGAGTGTGGTTACCGTAATGCGAGGTTACGCGTTCAAATAAATAAATACATAAAGAAATAAATAATTCTCGAATACTTCGAGGCACACCAAATCTGGCATGATCGAGACTTTACAAGCGATTGTTTCGCAACAGGCACGTAGCTTTGCATGAAATGCGTTGTTCGCATAATATGTAGAAGCTACCGAAATGGCGGATGCAATGGTCATGAACGGAATCTTTAATGATGTGGCGAAATTTTGGGATCAGAAATGTGTAAAATGGAAACAAATGGAGTGGAGACGAAAGGTCAAAACAAGGAAGTGTCATTTTAGTGTGCATATCCAAAATATATCGCAATGATGTGAAATGGCGCTCTGGTTAACTTGCCAGTGTGAGTTTGTGGGCAGTGGCGTTATTGTGGTGAGTTACATCGTCCATAGCCTCAGCTGGCGTGTACAGTGTCTGGTGGCTGTCACAGGCCGTAGCGATCCGAATTTGCCTGGCTACTTTACGCGTGGGGTCTTATCGCTGAAGAGCGTTTCGCCCGTTCCGACTAGGATTTGTGACCACAAGGATGTGTTATAACAATGAGATTCAATTGATATCGTGTCTGAACCTCGACCGCTTTCACCCTTTACTGGTAGTGAGAATACCAGGCGAGCAGAAATGGGATTCGGAATTCGTTTCATAGTAAAACTGGACTCTTTATATAACATGAAAGCTGACAGATGCGTAACTGTAAAAGCCAACCACCACACTGTAAGCGCGTGATTAGTCAAAGCCAATTAGGATAGAGGCATTTTTAAACCAATCGGATGCACGCAACGTAGGGGAATTGAGTGCGTTCGTGTCAGATTTGCACTGTGATCTGCAAGCAGGAACATTCGCTGTGACCTACCCATGTGGTTAACGAAATGACACATTAAAACAAGCGCCAGTGCATTAGTGCAGCGGAAACATAGACTGCAATTATGAACCTTTACATTAAGCATACCTGAATTTTTATCGCTCTTTAAGCTTGTTCTTGAAAAACAACCTTTTTAATCCACATAGCTCTTCCGACGGTAGTCCTCTGGGAATGGCCGAGCAAATATTTTTCTGCTTTTTGAACTCATAAGTGCTCCGTTTCCTGATGGCTCCAAAAGATCTGTCAAAATTCTTAAGCATATCATAGTATAGTGATTCGGTGAACTCGTGCTTGTCAGTAAACGACGTCACGGTGCTCGTTATATAACAGCCTCATTTGATGGGTATAGCGGATCCATATATGTATAACAGCACGGATCTCATACATCCCCCGGTGACGGTGCCGCGCGACTACTCCAGGTATCCATTTAACCCTGTGCACCTACCGAGAGTCGTCAAATACTGGGTTTTCAACTTCCAACTTACTTGGCTATGCCCCTGTTAGACCGGCTTCAGCTTCACAGTCGCTCACAGTTAGATACTTTGACATTCGTGACTGTCTCGTCACGTGATTGTGTTGCATATACGCACGACCGTCGTTCAGAAGTAGACCGCTCACTATGCATGACTATGCCCACTCATGTGGTTGGTCTATTGATCTATCGATCTTTTGAGTCCCGGTTGCTCAGCTTTGTCAGTTTTTGAATACAGTCTGTCCGGCACGGTGGCGTTCTTGCTTCCCGTTCGGAGTTGGTTCAGTTACAGTCAGGCGTTATAATAGACTGGCGACGGAGCTATTGCTTGTTTATTGGATTTATATCACAGGATGTGTACGGCGCATCGCTTAGCGTTTGGGAGTCATTAAGTCACAGTTGTTCTCAGTCTCCGACCCATAAGTTTCAGGGAGTAAGGTTCCAGCTGGTGCACTGAGATTCAGAGGAACGCAATAGATCAACAGGAATGTCTCTAGCCTTTCTTATAGCGGCCGTTTCCCCTTCGAGCGTGATAGTGCTCGTTTCATGGTATCTACGAGGCGCTTGGCCTCCAGATTAGATTGTGGGCGATACGGCGCAGTCTTCAGGTGTTCGATTCCATTGCGTGTACAAGACACAGCAGATTACCAAGACGTGAACTGCGATCCATTTTCCGACACACTGATTCCCGATAAGCTATGCTGGCTGAAAATGTGTCTCAAGCGTATATTTTCCTGACTGCTGACGCATTTTTGTTCACCGTTACATCCGGCCACTTGTTGTAGGCGCAAACAAGTATAAGAAACATGAATCCATTAGGTAGGTCTGTAAAATCTACATGAATCTATGACTATGATAATTTCGGATCTTTTCCAGTTAAGCCCCGCCAAAAAGTTAAGCCCCGCCACCCAAAAAAGATTATGAAAAGGAGGATATGGAACTTGAACTTTTATTCTCTATTGAAGAGGGTGAAATTGAGACAAGTCATTAATAATTTGCATGAAAAGGTCCATTTTTCGGTGTCTTTGCCTCCAAACGAACTCACACAGGTAGCTGTCCACCAAAGATCGGTGTGTGCCGCATTGGCGCTTCTGCATCTTGTAAATGTGCCAGAGAGATTCGATGGTTTGTGTGTGAGCTCCAGTCGTTGGATCCACAAAGTTTTCGGAATGATTAACCGAGTCGATGCCTTGGTATGATGCCCACATATCGGAAATGATAATTGAGTCAGGAGCGATGCGGGCCTGGATTGTGTCCAGCAGACGTGATATTAGGGTTTCATCGATCTCGACATGTTGGCCTGGGTCGCCGACAATCGTTGGAGTCTGCAAAAGCTGCCAGGCACAAGTTTCACGCAGAAAGTTCTTCCAGTCGACAGCGGTCGCGTGGCCAATGGATAACTCCTCTGAGCAGAATTTGATTGTTGTCAGATTTTTGGACCCGTAATAAATGAATAGGATTATTGTCCTGAAATCCATCCTAGACCGCTCCAGCCAATTTCCCTTTCGAAGACCGATTTCTTGCCGACACTGTCGGGCATCACACCTCCATCTGTCAGAAACAGTTGAAAGTGTCATTTGGTGTCCTCGTCTGCATAAACTTTGATGATGAAGCACTCCACGGATTTGCAAAAGACGTATTGCTGTTTCCTTGTCATGAACGACCGCCGAAAGCGTCAGAAAGTTCATGTCAGGTTTTACGTCCGAACGTAGAAAATTTTTGGACTCAACTTTTCACGCGTGCCCTTTTTGCACTATTGGTGGGGCTTGACTTTTCAGGTGTACCTTTTTTGCCTTAGTGGCGGGGCTTAACTGGAAAAGATCCATAATTTCGATATAAGCCAGGGCTTCATTGTTGTTCCCCTTGACAACTTGTAAACACATGAGCATCTGGTACAGGCACGACCAACATTCATTAGCTGACGACCCAGTGTCGTCCAAAGACTTAGCTCCGAGACAGTGTCTTCACGCAGGCAATCTACTGATCAGCATTATGGAGTTGCCTTAAAAAGCTCCTCCGCTGGACTACTGATGTGACGATGCAGTCAGTGAAAAGCAGACAGGAGTCAGTTGTTGAAAAAAGAACCACACACTTTCTGGAAATTAACAAGTGCTTCTTTCGAAAGCTTTCTCATGCAGATGGGTTTCGCAAAAGTTTTAGTGCATCATCGACTGAATACGTTTATTTCTTTACATATACGTACCGGAATTGCTATCGCTCCTCCAATGACCTCAGGTTTGCCAGCACCTGATGTATAGCAGCCAAGAGAGCATACAGCTGATAGCTCTTGTACTTCCTAAGGTCTGCAATCCGTTCTTAATCTCAGGGCATTTATCAGGCTAGTATTGGTGTCAATTAGCCATTTTTGCTATTCCTTCGAGGCAGCAGCTCATGCAGTGGTGTAGCAACTATTTTTGCCGCCCGGGAAGGCGGCAAAATGTTCGCCCCGAGGGCAGAATAGGCTAGTGAAGGCTACACAGTCCGTTTACGGTGATGTTCACATTAGTTTTTGATGAAATGTGTGATCGTTTGGGACACTCAGGTCATCATCATCAACAGCAGTACATCAGCCATTTGAACCGATGCTTCGCTGTCATACAACCATGAGGACTTATGAAATAAAGAATAAGAAGAGGGAGAGAAGGGGGACTTATCTGAAAACCTTAATGCCCTAAGCAAACATTCTGGGTCAAAGCGCCTACACCTTGTGTTAACAACGTACCGTCACAAACAGCTGGCTATCGTGCAAACATAAGGCGGCATCGACGAGAGAGCTTCCTTGCGGCTTTCACTGCCCTGCGTCATAATCAGCCATTACCTCACAGATAACTCAGCACCAAACACACTTGAGACAGGCAATCCGATTAGGTGACGGCAGCAGACGCGCCACTGGTGTCTACTGCGAGCCATGTCCTGTAAAGTCTCAAGCCAAGAACAAGGCGAGTTAGGTGGACTCCAG